AAGGCCATGAGGTTAGTGGTTTATTATCATGGGTTGGCAACTTGAAACTCACAAAGATGGAATTCTTTGAATTATAAATGTAAGAATGTTAAAACTGCCAGGAAAAATGGCACACAGTAAGAAACTGTCAGTAACTGTTTTAACTGAACCAATTTTATGTGTCTACTTAAAAAAAAAAACAAGAAAAATAAACAGAAAAATGATTTGGGTAGAAGTATGTTATTAGACAGAAAATTCTCAGAAAATCATTATTTAATGTAAGTTGGCTTAGATCCCTCCCCATATTTACTGGCCTATATGACACATTGTTTACAACTGTATTTAGGAGACAACAGTTCACTGCAACTAATCCAAGCTTCATCACTGTCCATTTTTAGATTTGGGAGATAACTCCTTCCCTCATAATGCCCACTTCATGGAATGCAATGCATACTGTTTTTTTTTTTGTTGTTTTTTTTTTATTTACATGCGTGTCTTATAACTATTGATTGTAAGAAGAGAGAATATATGATTATTAGCACAAGGGACAGTTCAAGATGTGAGCTACAAACTAGAGATGTCAAAAGCGAGCAAGTACAGAAGTTTAACTATCTGGGAAGTGTTATAACAGAAATCCTAAGGTATATTGGAATAATGAAAAATGTTTTCCAAAAGCTAAACAAAGTATTAAGAAACAAGAAAAATTCATTATAAACAAAGACTGTTGATAGATATGATATCAAATCTGGGCAATTTTTCACAGGTGAAGAGATATGAGACAACAGAGATGTGGTTCTACAGAAGAACGCTAAGAATACCATGGATTGACCAATGACAAATTTTGAAGAAAAATGAAAACAAAACAGACACTTGTACTTAGTATAAGAAAGAGAAGGTAGAAATTTCTGGGAAACATAAGTAAAGAAGACGTAATGAATTTGAAACTCTCACAGCATTTATTGAAGGCAGGGTGAAACTTAATAAGTTTGTATAAAGAGGAACTGAAAGAGATAATATAGAGACAAACATTACTTAGAACTACAAAGAAGTTGCAGAGAGCCATGATCACCATATTTTAAAGGGATACTGGCCATAAAAGTAGTTCATTATATGCTAGTAAATATGGTAATTCATGTTCAGATTCGTTTTAGAAATGTAAAACATCCAGTTTTAAATATGAAACCTGTAGAATATGTATATTTTTTTTATCACTAAACTGTTTAACCCTCTTGACATATTATGTATATAGTGAACTTTCCTAACAAATTTCAATGTATAATGGCTTAACTGTTCAGAATGAAAAAACTACACCTATAATTTTTTTTTATAATGTATATATTTCCAAGATGAAATATATGGTCATTAGGACAAGGGACAGTTCAAGATGTGAGCTACAAACTAGAGATGTCAAAACTAAGCAAGTACAGAAGTTTACCTATCTGGGAAGTATTATAACAGAAATCCAAAGGTACATTGGAATAATGAAAGATGTTTTCCAAAAGCTAAACAAAGTATTAAGAAACAAGAAAAATTCATTATAAACAAAGACAGAAGAACTGATAACAGAAAAATAGTTCACATTGTGCCACTAAACCTCCAAACAGACTTGCTCAGTTTTAAATTCAGAGTTGTTGTTCTCATAGACTAGTTTGTCAGCCAAGGCTAGAGAGACCAGTATACCCTTCTATTTATTCCATAACTGGAGAGAGATATACTTTTCTCAAGTTTATCTGTGTGAGAGGGAATGAAACAAACTTGGCATGAATTTGATCATGTCTCTGATTTCTCTTCTCGAGCAGCTAATGGTCATAATACTCACACATCTCACACACTTTCTTTTTTTAAATCATTTCACTCCAAGTAATGCAATAAAGCCTCTAAAATACTGAGTTACTGAGTGTTAGAGAATGATAAAAAACACTATTATGGAGAGAGAACAAGAAATAAAAAGACAATAAATAACAAATGACAGTGCACTATAATTTTTGAAGATGAATATCGACTGGAAAGCAAGAAGCCAGAAGAAAGTTCCACAAGTGAGAAGTGTGATAGAAGAAACTGTTAGCATAGAACTTATGATTACATTTACATATCTGAAATGTAAAATTATGAGACATTGCCACCAATCAAATACTGTACTTAAATACATAAAGTCTAGGTATCATAGGGGAAAGTTCATTAGAACAATTACCATTAAAAAATTTATAGAAAAGATGCAGAGAAGCAACATTACGGTGGTGTGAAAATGACTGAAGTCAAGATACCAGGTCAAGACTACCCCTCATATATGTTATAACCTGGGGAAGTTTACTGAATAGAATAATCAAACAAAGGTTGATAATGAATGATAATACTTAGGACAAGAACAACACATATAAGATTCACCAGTGGCACGTAGGAAAAGTAGTAAACTGCTAGAAGTGAGTCAAGTGAATTCTACAATGAATATCCAATTGCAGACCAACATACAGTATTTACTACTGTATTTATTTGAATGGGGACATATCCATTATTGCCTGTAGGTATGCTACAGCTATATATATATATATATATATATATATATGACAAAGTGGAAATGTTTTATCGTGATGCATTTTGTTCCTTAGGACTTCATCAGATGAAATGCATCACACAAAAAATCTTTTCCACTTTGTCATGCATCTTTCCTCCAAAACTGATTTTGATATATAGAAATTTATATATCATTATCTCATATATATATATATATATATATATATATATATATATATATATATACACACACACACACAGTGTTTCAGAAAAATTGACATCATTTTGTAATCTAATAACTTGACCAATTCTCATTCAAATGATTTCATATTTTAACAGCATGTGTAGAAATAACTTGAAATTCGATGTCTAATGTTTTATGTTTTTCTTTTTCAGATATAGAAATGACATTCACTGGAAAAAAAAAGACGTTTTGTATGTTAGAATATGCTCAGACACAATCAAAGAAGACTGTGCAGTGTGCATTTATGAGAGAATTCACTAAAAACACACCAACTGCAATGCAGATCTGGACATGGTATAAGAAAGCTGTCTGTGCAGTGCAAAAGGATCTTGATGGGTGCCCTGTCACTGGTGGTGTGCATATAAAAAATTTGTGAAATAATTCATGAAATCCACATACATTTGAATTTCTCATTGAAATTTTGATCAATAAATCTAATGATGCTCAAGAATAAGCCCATTTAATTTAATTTCCCTAGACTACGTACTTAGATATTTACATCTGAAATGATACCTAATTTTTTTAAACACTGTATATATATATGTATGTATGTGTAGCCATCATGCAATATTTTACTACTGAACAAAAACAGAGTACAAACAACATAAGCAATAAAAGGAAAATAAGAAAGAAAAAAAACACTATCTTGCAGAATATTAGCAAATAGGTGAAAATATTTCAAGTTGCTCTGAAAATGGCCTGTTAAATTCACTTGCATTCACCTTAGCATATCTATCTTGAAAACAGAAGAACTTCTACAGGTTTCCATGATGTTTTCTGTATGGTTTCTAAAAGCTTGGTTCAAAGGTTGATAGCCATAAGCCAAACTGATGTTTCGATGCCATATGCATGTCTTTTAGAAGCTTTCCACTTTTTATTCAAGAGTGGATGCATGAATCCTATTTACAGAATATCACGTATCAATACAAGTGATCTGACTGAATCCAATAAAACTTTGCTTTTGTCTTCCACTCTCATGAATTCCACTTTAATATCTACCGACATATAATGTACAAGATTAACATGAGAAAAGCTGAAACGAAAATGATACCGAAAAACAAACATAATTTCGAGCACCCGAAGATAAAAAAATATTGCATATTCTTTTAAAAAATAAAATTTTTGTTGGTGCATTTACATCCTTCTTCTATGTGTCATATCCCTTCAAGACATAGGCGATTATGGCTCTCCACATTTTCTAGTCCTTTGTAGCATTTAATAAATGTTGACTTTTTGTAATCTCACTTAAACTTTGCTCTGCCATCCATTTATATAAACTCTCTAGATTGTTTCCTCTATCTCTTTTTCCTTGAATCTGTGAGTATCAAATTTTCCAAACCCTGTTTCTTCATTGTGTACCATAGAAATTTCAACTACCTCTTTCTGATCTTAAATATTTCAAATTACAATGAATAATGCAGAGAGAAAGAAATATATATGAATACCTACTATTTTTCTCATAGATAATTAATATTGAAATAATGTTATATATTTGATATTGTCTTTCTTGGGTTACTGTTAAAAATCTATTTTTTTTTCTTTATCAACTTCATTAAGTATAACAGTAGTTTTTGATAATGAGATACAAATATTTCAAAATAATTTGATATTTCAAGTTTTCTTTTTTATATTAAAAATCACTTCTGTGTACCTAAGGAAAATGAATTGGGCTTTGGTTAGGTTGGTTTAGCTGTGATAAGGGAGCATTATTTTTTTATGAATTGCTATGGTCAAATCAAGTGTTGATTTCTGATTATCAAAGATAATAATTAGCACATCTATCTGATAAAAAAAATTAAAATCGTTTCAAATTACAATGTGTAAAATAAAATTCTATAATTATAACTATAACTCCAGATGAGTTAATTCTTTACTCTAAATGAATAACCAAATTATTTACCAAACAAGCAAGACACTACAAACTAAAATTGGTGTGGAGACTAAATGAGATGTTAAAAGTGATGTTGTAGGGGCTAAATTAGGTTGTTGTTTTAGTTGTTTTTGTTTAGCAGCATATCAACACCTCCATAGTGTCAAAATCTAAACATTTTTTTTGTAAACAATTTTATTTTATTTTTGGAGAAAATAATGGTTTAGTGACACGTCTTATTAATTAACCTATAGATGGAGGGAGTAGAGATGGATTTATACCTTTTCCAAGAGTATTTGTGCATAAGTGAATATAACAAACCTGACTGGATTTGAAACTTGGCTCTCCAATTAACAATTCTGAATCATTATCTATAACACCACCTACACATCCAAGCTTACAGCACCTATTATTCCCAAGTGGTCACCCATCTGGGTACTGACTGGGCTCAATATTGCTTAACTTCAGTGATCATATGAGAACTGGTGTTTTAGCGTGATGTGGCTATATGCAGCTAAGTTAGTGTTATGATTTCTGATTCTATATTTTTTTCTGATGTTCATGTAAAATTTTTGACATCAATCATCTTACTATAAATATTTTTTTTTGATTTTGATTTTAAATACAAAGGTTTTTGCTTTTTACTTATACTTATTATCTGGAATAAGGCCTATAGGCATTTTCCAATTATAAAACTTTAGTTTTAGAAGCTAACACTTTGAAAAAAAAAAACCAACAGGAAATTAATTTTTCTGACTTTTTAAAAAAATTAATGCCAGCAATGATTTTAAACAAATGATAGAGCTCAGGACAATGCCATTGTCATAGATTGAGGTCAAGAGGATATATTTGTCTCCGGTTTAATTATGGTTTGGTGCCTTTGCTATGTATACAGAGATTCTTGGCAAAATTCAAAAAAGAATCTGCAATGTTACTGGTTCTAACCTGGCATCTGAGCTTCAATCACCTTCCCACCACAGTAACATAGCTTTACTGTGCTTTTTATATTCATGTTTTCATGGTAAGTTTTGATGAGCTTATCTTTTTCATACTTTGACATTACAAGTTTAAGTGCAGTACTAGATTGGTAGCTAGGTCTCATAATTTTACAACTGAAATAGCTAGGTGTGACCATAGGTTCTATGGTAATAGTTACTTCTGTCACATTTCTTGATTGCGGAACTCTTTTACATCTTCTTTCTTCCCAGTCAAATTTGGTTTTCAAAAATTTAAATGCAGTGACAGCCATAAGTTTTTGTCTCCTTGAATTCTGTTTTTTTTATTATTTTCTCTCCTTAATAATAAATTTTCTTAGATTCTTTTATGCACAGTAACCATTACATCTTAGTGGCTTTATTGCCTTGCTTGGGGTGAAATGATTAAAAAAAAATTTAAGTTCCAGTAAAAGGTTGAAGCATTAATTCACTCAGCTAGCACTATGGATGTTTCAAGTAGTAAATAGCAGTTTTAATAATGAAGCCGATCCAGAGTAATCTCATTAAATGTGAAACACAATCTAAATGAATTGTTCTTATTTTCTAGCAGTGAGTTTAGTCTAAGATAATGAAAAATATTATCATCATTTTATAAATTCTTACCAATAAAATGTTTAAAGATAAGACCAAGGATACAAAACTTCCAATTCATACCAAATTATACAACTTAGATACAAACCTCTTATATTAGCATTTCTGTATTGAGAGGCCATTTAATTGAACAGAGATATTTAGTTTCTCTATAGATAAGGCTAATGAGCCTTGTGCTCAGTTGATAAAGTTGACAGAGAGAGAGGAGTAGCTTTGAGATTAGTTGGTCATTTAATTCATCTTTAAAATCTGCCATTTCTTACGTAATGACATTTTTATTTTCATTTGATAAATATTCCATGACATGATTTCGACCATATGATTTCTTCTAATGAAATAGCAAAGATTCAGATTATAATAATCATTTATAATATGATTTTCTTGACTATCAGATGATTTCCATTTATTGCAGATCAATTTCAGTCAAAATCTAAACTTAATCTTTTATATCTTTTCGAAAGACTTATCATCAAATGGCAATTTTGTGATCTGTTGAATTGCATATTTAAAATCAATAGCAATTAAAGATAAGTTATTGATCATAAAAAGGATTTATCAAATTGGAAATTCACTAATTTCAAATCAAAGATGCAATATAAATTCTTGAAGATAATTCAATATCCGATTTTCTACATTAATCAATCAGTTTTAAAATCTTAGCATAAATCCCCCAAAATGTTAATTTTTCTCCTTTGAAACTTTTCTTCTTTTTTTTTTTTTTTTTAAATCATAAAATATCATGTGCCCTGTTATGTTATCATCAGTCCCATTAATGTGGGTGTCTTTGTAGGGTTGCTGTACAAATGATCACTTGACCAATTCCCTCCATATCTCTAACTTGAAGGCTGGGAGGTATTTATTCTTGCACAGCATATCTTAGGCAAGTAGACCTGGTGAAATCCATCCCTCTCCAGGTCAAACTGCAACTGATATTTAAGTGTTGATTCCATTGGGGAAACCTCTAGCCTGGCAGTTGACTTCAATTATGAAGGCCTCCACCCAGCATACACAACTATGGTGCCCAGCCTACCACCATTGGGTAAGATGAATACTGACCCACGGGCTTTGATTTTAATCCCGTTCAGTCTCTAGACACTTTCCTCGCCAAAAAAGCTTGGTTTAATCACTAATGAACTGACCATTCAGCAGGTAGCAATGGGTTATGCTGTACCAGTAACACTTATAAAATGTATTGATATAATTTTTTATAGTAATGAAAATCAAAAGGCTTTTTTGGTGATAACACAATTTGATTTAAAAATTCAGATGCCTTACTCTATTTTTTTTTCTTAAAATTGTGCACATCAAGATTCCTTCAGTTTCATGTGTAAATTCCTTATTCAACAAGAAAAATCAGTCTTAAAATTATACCAAGATGTATTATGCAATTAATTATTCAGTCAATGTACAGAGTACAGATAATATTGAAAGCAAATTTGGACAACATTTTATCATGAGAAATTTTTAATGAGTTTTAGACATCTTAAGAAGTTACAGACAGAAAATTCTTTTCAAATTAAATCACTGACAAAAGGGTATTTAATGACTTTGGCAATACGAACAACCTAATTCCTTCAATGAGAGTAGCATCTTAACTATTTTCTAGCTGTAAGAATAAACACTTACCTCACTTGTAAACTTGCTGTACATATTTTATGTTAAGTTATTCTAGTCTCTTCTTTTATGTGAAACATAAAATCATATCAGTCAGTTATGTGCCATGTGTGATACATACGTAGGTGATCATGCATCTTTTGATACATGACTGACGAGGCAGATTTTTTCCCACAATAGGTTGTCATTTTTTTTCTGCAGTAGACCAGTTGTCATCCAAGGCTGTACAACCCGGTATGTTCTGCTATTTATCCATAGCTTGGGGGAGAAGAAGAGGATTCATACCTTTCCCAAGGGTATTAGCACATAAGTGAATGTAATGGATTCGAGTGGAATTCAAACTTGGCTTTCTGATTCCTCAATCCAAGACACTCTCCATTACTCCATTGTACCTCCTACCTAAAATCATATACAGAATCTATTTCACTAATATATGAGTTACTACTTAAAATGTGTTATCTATTTAACCAATATGTCAGTTTATGTTTAAAATATGTGGTTATATATTTAAACAATATGTGAGTTATTACTTAAAATCATATGTATTATCTATTTAATTGATATGCAAGTTATTACTTAAAATCATATGTGGCATCTATTTAACTGATATGTAAATATATATATGACTAAAATATGTGGTTATATATTTAATCAATATGCAGGTTATTATTTAAAATCATATGTGGTATTTATTTAACCAATATGTGAATTAATACATATAAGGTACCAATTTAACTATGTGAGTTTCTATTACTGATTCATTGGAACAAAAAAAGAGTAAAAAACAACACAATATAATTATGTTATTGTTAAAATTAGTTAATCAAAAGTAACAGAGACTAAATATTCTGGCAGTATAGTGTGGTGTTGTATTGTTGGATAAAATCCTGAACACCAGCGAAAGACACAAAAATAAAAAGTTTAATTTTTTTTGTTTCGGGTTGAGTGTACTGTACAAATATTTACTTCCCACAGTGCCTAGAAAGAATTCCAATTTCCCTGAAGTAGACGTTTTGTTTATAATTTCAGTGCATGTCTATATGTTAAATAAAAATGATTGATGTTGCTCATTTCAAATGAATATAATTTCTTCTAGGAAAAAAAAAGGACTTTAAAAAAATGCCCATGTTGTTGTCGGTGGTGAATAGAAATGTATAAACATATATATATATATATATGTGTGTGTGTGTGTGTGTGTGTGTGTGTGTCATTTTGTAATGTACATACATATAAAAGCAGATTTGTGAATTGTAGATTATCCTCACATAATTTTGTAGTGCAGTGGACAAGACATTTGCAACCTGCCAATTTCCATTTCAAAGCTAACCACCACCCAACTGAATAAAACGCTAGGAAAATGTCTAACGCATTCAATGTTCAGCCTATAATTTTCAACATTTCACCCAGGATCAGAATCCATTTTGACCCTTACCTGCATACATAAACTCAGCGTGTAATGATATGAGTACACTACAAAATACAAGAATCCCCAAAGGGCAGAAAGGCCTGATAGATGAAAATCCTACAACCATTTCCATTGGAATCATCAATCATGTTCACATAACTCTTGAATTGTATACTGAACAACAGACCATAATATTCAGAGCTATGAAACAGTAAAAACCAAACATATTGATAATTTCTGTAAATACCTGTAAGTAAAGAAAGTGAATATTCTGATGATAATATTTAATGATGCAAAGTATTATTATCTATATAAATATATAAATTAATAACAGAAATATTCATATTTAGTTTTTTATTATTTTTAAGTCTAAAATATTTTATTATAATGTCTATCAATAATAATTTATTGAACAACTTCTGCAATAACAAATAACTAAAAACTATGATTCTTTTTTCATTCATTCATTCATTTATTCATTCAGTTCACACATTTTTTACTGTCGTGGCCACCACTCCCCCTATTTCTGTTGCAACTGTGGTTCATGTTGACATTTAAGGCAAAATAATGCAATGGGGTGCTGGTTTGTTTTTATGTTAAAAACTTTTATAATTTAAATTTTGTTAAATTTTCTTATATATTTGAAGTTATATAAAATGTGCAAAAACATTAAGATGAATCAGAACTAATTTTTAAGTTAGTTTTACATGTGGAGAGGTAAACTGAGATCCTCTGTTAGGCAGAACCAACATTGCTTCATGTGTGATTCTACCTCAACAAAAAAAAACACTGATATTTTGATGACAATGATGTAATTATATTTTCCTCAAGATTTTTTGATTGAAAGAATATCTAAGGTTATTATAAGTTATTTTGTAGTATATTTTGAGA